GGGGCCACCGCACAAGCTTCCTCATGACTTGAATGGTGTCGTCACGTGATAAAAGTCTGTCTGAAATGGAGAAGCACTGTTTGCTTGGTTTTCCTTGTGTCCCTCGCGTCCGCCTGCCCGCCAGGTAGATGTACAGCTCCGGTGGGGGCCTGGAGGGAGAGCCAGGGGACAGGACAGCCCTAGGAATAAGACTTGGTGCGCCTCACGGATGGCCCTGGCCAGGGGAGGGGCGGCTGGCCCGAAATCCACGACGGCTGTCTCAGAGCTGGTGTCCCTCCACCTGCCACCTGGTTTGAACAAACCCTGCCGTGGAAGGCGCGCTCCTCCTCCGTGAGACCTGGTAGCCACTAGACAGACGGCAGTGGCTGTGGGACGTCACCACTCGGCGTTCCCAGTGCACTGTTCAGCCAGAATCGCTCGCCAATGTGCCAGGGGAGGGGGTGCCTGAATGTGTCAACAGAGGCTCCTAATTCTTTGGACGCTGGCAGCTGTGACCGAGGCCCTGGGGAGGGAGCAGACAGGTCGAGGAGCCGTTTCCTGTTAGGGGGCTCACTGGGGATGAGGTGAGGAAGGCAGAGGCGGCCAAGAGCCCCATGTGCCCAGTGCTTCCCAGGGGAGGGGGCCTCGGCTGCAGCTTTGGGGCACATCTGGGGGCCATTGCTGAGAGGCAGCGTGCAGTTGTGTGTGTGTGTGTGGGGGGTTGGTACGGAGGATGCCGGATGTGTTTCCTATAAAGCTGTGGCTTCCTGCTTCAGGAGCAGCCGGCCACTTGGGAACATCAGACGTGCCAGGGCAAGGCATCCTTGGGGCTGGCCGAAGCCGCACATGCGTGCATGACACGAAGGCTAAGTGGGTGGGCTCCCTGGAGCTGGCTGTGTGTCCAGTGGTCTCAGTGGCCCTTCTGTCATCATGGCCGTTCTTGTGGGAGCTGCAGCCAGGGTCCCCGTAAGCCAGGTGGCAGCAGCAGGCAGTGTCTGCTTGTGGAGCGCCCCAGGCACGCCCGTCTTTGTGTTGGGCTTGGCGAACTCACACAGGCAGTGACAAATAGGCTATGGGCACCCCAGTCAGCTTTAAAATTCTGCAGCGTTGCAGGCCCCCACCCCCCTTCTTTGGCCTGCTCTGCAGTCACAGACACCCGAGGGCCTTCAAAACGGGTGTGGGGCGATGGGATTGCCATGGGGGGGAGGGCTTTTCCCACAGCCATTCCATCTTGCATGGAATGGGCGGCTGTTTGGAGTGTGCTTCCGGAGCACGTGGGGTGACTCCTGAGCTGGGTCACGTCACATCCCTTCGAGGGAAGGGAGGGAGAAGGTTGTGCGTGGACGGTTCCGAGGCCTTGCGTTTTTGTCGGAGGTCACCGAGCTCCCAAACCGGGGGCCTGCTCCCAGAGATGGGCGATGGCGGTTGCAGGCTGTCGGGGCGGAATCCCTATTGAAGAGGACTCAGTTGTTTGCAGCAGGTGAGTAGGGAGGGAAGAGGGTCTTTTTGGCCTTCTTCCTAATTTGGATCAAGGAAGGAGAGTCACGCTTCTCTGTGGAAGAGCCACACCTGGAAGTATCTAGCAGGTGCCTGCCACTACCACTACCACCCCACCACCCCACCCCAGGAGTCCCCTGGCTCGGTTGTCACAGCCTCACTAGCCCTGGGCAGCGTGACGTGACGGCGCACCCCCTGGTGGTCACTGAGCGCCTGAGCATGCACTCACCTCTAATACCAGGAGTGGGACCCCAGTCCCCGATCCACCCCAGGAGGGCACTCTCGGTGGTGGGGGCCCCGTGGTTGTGCTGAGAAAGCAGAGGCAAGGAGCAGACACAGCCTGACTCTCCCCCAGGGAACTGACTCTCCCGACTCCGCAGAGCTCCAGCCCACGCTTTCTTGGTTCACGAGCTGAGAGGATTTCTCGGTAAGGCACCACACCCTGACCCCTGGGCCGAGAGCAGACCTAACAGGCTGCAGAGCCCACAGGCCGCCTCCCGGCCAAACATTCACTCTTCTCCCCTCTGTTAACACCAGTTCTGTCAGGGTCAGATTGGGAAGGCCTTCCTGGTAGGTGTTCTGAGGTGGCCGTTTGTGTGTGGAGGGGGGGGCTGGTGGCATAGTGATTGGCATTGGGCTGTGAGCAGCAAGGTCAGTAGTTCAAAACCACCAGCTGCTCCGAGGGAGAAAGAGGAGGCTTTCTATTCTCATCAAGAGCCAACAGTCTCGGAAACCCACAGGGGCAGTTCTACCCCGTCCTGTAGGGTCACTGTGAGTCAGAATGGATTTGATGGCAGGGAGGGTTTTTTTTTGGGGGGGTGGGCGGAGAGGCAGGGTCTGTTGGGGTCATCTCTCTCACTCTCCTCCCACCCTCTCTCTCTGAGAGATGGCCCCTGTGCTTCCCCTGGGTGGCACGCTGTCCTGGGCAGCTGCGGCCCCATCTGGAGAGCGGGCACCTATGTGCGTTCCTGACCTGTGAGATGAGGGAGCACCCTGGCCGTGCCAACGTGAGCGGCCTGGACAAAGCCAAAGAGGCCACGTGACAGAATGAGGGCTCACGAAGGGTTTCTGAATTTGCAAGGGCCCGGCAGGAATTCGGAATCACACTCTGGAGGCTGCGGTGTTCTGGGAGCGCTGGCCCGTGTGGCCACCATCTGGGCCCAGAAGGGCTTGGGAGTGGGAAGGGTTTACAAAGCCCAAGGACCCCTGAGCACCCACTGCTGCCAGGTGCCGGCTCTCCAGCGCCAGACTTCTTCCCAGACCCCAGCGGCGCAGCTCCCCTTGAGTGAAGCCCCCTTTTTGGCAGCAGAGATCTTACACACGTCATCTGCCCCCCCAGCACCTCCTCCTCCGTGTGCTTGTGCTTCGCTGAAGTGGCCCCGACTGACTGCCTGACCTCTGGATTTTGTGCACACGAGTCGCTGGGGACTGGAGGCCCCCACCCCATGCCCCTGACTTTTGTGGGTGAACTTGGCTTGCTTTTGACAGGGGTGAGGCTGGGGTGCACTCTCACCTTTATGGACCCTTTCCCATCCTTGCCAAATCCCAGCGGAAAGCTGCCTGCTCTCAGGGCCGCGCGTTTCTCCCCACGGCTCTCTGCGTCTGAGACGCGCCGGCCGGTGCGTGGGCAGCGTGCGTCCGACGCACGCTCGGCTTTCATGGTGTTAACATTCCATCACTGCCGGCGTGGCTTCACTCAGAAAAATAAACACACACGGAGCTTTGTAAATACAAGTTTCTAACTGCCCCCCACCCGACCTCCTTTTAATGTAAAGCTTTTTGTCGTTCATACTTGGAAGTCGCCATAGGAAATGCTTCCATGAGCAACAGCCGTTCCTCCCTGGGAATAGAACGCGCCTGGTGCTGGGCCGGATGGGAAGGTGCCCGTCAGCCCACAGCACCATCCTGCCCCCAGGTGGCGGCCCTGCAGCTCCGTCCTCTGGTCACCTTGTGGCATTGGTGGGCAAAGCCTGTGAATACTGTTTGTGGGGGTCAGGGAGGTGTGGCATCTGGGGGGGAAATGCCTTAAAAGTGGCGATTGTATTCGTTTATTGCAACGCCAAACACAGGAGTCCTGACGCCCTCGTTAGTCAACCTCTGTATGCAACCCTCTCTGCCAGGCCCCCCAGACAGCGCTCTGATCAGAGAGCGCGGCTCTCATTCGCAGGCACGTCGGACGATTTAGACCCTTGTCGCCGCGCTGACACACATGCGCTCTCGTGTTTCTGAGCGGGGCCTTCTTTCATGGTTTGCCAACGTGGCCCACTGCTGTTGCCCAATAAAGCTTGTGTACCTCATGCCTCTGAGGGTCACGTTGATTTGTACCCCTGGAAACGGCGGTCCGGGTGTCAAAGCCGAGGCCAGAAAGGTGGGGTTCATGCTTTTTCTTTCCTTCCGTTTAGAAATAGGACGTCTGCTTTTGGGTTTAAAGGGAAAAACAAAACAACGTGTGATATTTGCTGTTTGCTGCTGTCGATTCCAAACCTGTCAGAATTTCAACAGGAAGTAGGGCTGGGGTGGAGGTGGGGGCCTGACTTCCGAGGTTAACGGTTCACTCTTCCACTCTCCTGGCTGCTGCTGGGCGCCGACTGGGGATGCGGTTGCTTGTTTCAGGTGAAAGGGTCCAGGGTGGTTGACCTGTGGGGCAGGGGACAACATGCTTACTGGTTGAAGCCCGGCGTTATTTTGTGCACCAGGGGACATGTGACTGGATGGAGACATTTGGGGTTGTCATAAGTGGGGGATGGGGATATAGTGGCATCTAGCGGCTGGAGGCCAAGGATGTTTCTCCCCACCCTACAGGGCACCGCCCCCCAAATAACAAATCCTGCCCTGAATGTCAGAGGAACTGAGGTTGAGAAGTCATCCCTGTCAAGGGCCTTCATTCTTAAAGGGCCAAGCGAGCAAGTCAGCTGCCCAGCTCCCCTCTTCTCAGGAGAAGCTATTTGATGGGTGGGTGCTGGCTGCTTCCCACTGGATTTCATTTGAGAGAAAACCGTTCTCCAGTTATTAGGAAAACCCAAACCAGGATCCACTGCCATCAAGTCAATTCGGACTCCCAGTGACCCCAGAGGACAGTAGAATTGTCCCCCAGGGTTTCAGAGAGTGTTAACAAGAGCAGACAGCTGCCTCTTTCTCCCAAGGAGCAGCTGGTGGGTGCGACCACTGAC